GGGGGAGGTGCAGGGCACAGTTCCAGTGGTTGTTTATATAGGGGGGGGGGGCGAAAAAAAATTCTGCCCCGGGCGCCCAGAACTCTGGTTACGCCACTGCCACTGCCTCCTGGTTAGACAGAGAAGTAACAACAACGATCAACTCATCAACTCTGCTCACTCTCTACTCCTGTCAGCATGTTTCCTGTGAGAACTGTGCATCAAACAAAGCTTGGTTAGCACTTACAGTAGGTCTGTTCTTCCCTCTCCCAGCCTGAGTGTTGTAGTGCAAAGGATCACATGAAGCTAATATCAGTTTAAAGCTTCATAGAAAGTGCACTTATTTATTCTGCCCCCCTCCCCTGACCTCACAGAGCCCATATGCCCCCTCTGCAGATTTATACTTACCAAGATGCAGTGCCCGTGGTTTCTGGCGATTGTTTACATCCTGCACTGAAGTCCTCTACTATATCCTGCACTGAAGTGCTACCCATGCAGTAGAGCTCCATAGACTTCTATGGGGCTCTACTGCGTATGTGTGGTGAGCAGCGAGAGGATTTCTGAATGTGAGTTTTTAAAGAGAACCTTTCTGTTTTCAAAACATGCCTTAATTTAACCCCATTCATGTCACCACTGGGTTTCTGTGCTTCTTTATCTGCTAACAGATCATGGCTGATGTGAGGGGCCCGTTCTGAAAACAGCTCAGCACCCTGCTTCAGTTCTCCTTTCAAGAACCCCTCAGCCATGATGCAAACAGCGGGCTGGTTCTTGGGAGTAGTTATGAGTAAAATGTGATTGGAGGGGCTGCCATTCTCTCTACTTTCTTTGAGGCAATTCTGTATTATACTTAGTTCTAAAAGGTTTGAGACTTTCACTTAGATCTACAGACTCACCTCCAGGTACAAACACAGTCACAGGGATTCCCAACCCCACAACAAGCACAGTAGCACAGGGATCAACCTCCTGTAGTGCCCCAAAATTGCCAGTCACAAGGACCCTCAGTCCCAAGTCACCTAGAGCAGAACCAGCGCATGTGTGAACCTGCACCCACATATGGCCTTCATGGACACAGGATGACAGCTAGCTGGGTTAACTTAGGCCACACGCAGACTCCTCTTCTACCCTGACATAGCCCAATAACTGAATTCTCAGCCTGGATTAGATTTACAAGTCTTTACTGAGGAAAAAATTAAAACACTTCAATTACAAACTCAAGTTGCTCTGATGCTTACTCAGGCTTCTCTTTCCAAAAGGGGTAAGAAACACAGTCCAGGGCCAGGCAGAAACATAGCTACCTGCCGGTGTCTACCCCAAGAAGGAGAACATCTCTTCCTACCTACATTATAAGGCTTTGCAGTCCCTTCCCAGAAAATCCAACACCAAGTGCGGTGGAGAGCCTTGGCTGTGAAATTTCAATAAAGTTCTAACAAAATAAAAGATTACAGAAGACATTGCATCAGCACCACAGACGTCACAGTGCACACCAGTGAGTGTATTCTACCTCAACTACTGGTGTGAACAGTCCCTGCTGTACTTAGAGCTTACCCAATTACCTAAGTCTTTTTTTCCACCAGGGAGTTAGCCTTTCTTCCAGGGGGGACACAGCAGAGTGCCATGTTTCCCCAAAAGGGGAAACCCAATTATCGATCGACTTACATGGTGAGCAAGTTGTTCTTCCACCCAAGAGGAATGTCATCAGTCACATACAAGATCCCAGCCAAACTGAACCCTAACCTCAATTCCTGCTAGCCATTTATACTCTAGATCTCCTCCACCTAACTGGCACCTCAAACAGCCAATCCCGACTATGGTGGCACCCAACCCTTACATATAAAAACATCAAAATGCTTTGCTGAGTGGATGTCAATCTGGAGGAGTGGGTGCATGCAGACTGCCCTCGGTAACACCCACATGTGGTGATAAGGCTGCATGGTTGAAAAAAAACTGAAATCCAATGAATAAAAGGGGTGGGTCATGGACAGTCAGGCTGGGGAGGAATAAGGTAGATGGAAATCTATCTGACTTGGTGCAGCATTTAATGTAAATTGTGAGAAGCTCAGACTAAGCAATGTCAGTAGAGGAGAGGAGCCTGTACAATAGTGCAATTCTCAAGGGAAGGCTGGAGTTCAGCTTTAAAGTAATATACAACTGGAGTTCAGAAGGAATTATTTTATGGTTTCTTAAATCAAAAATTTGTTAAATCTGTTCCAGGAAATTCATTGGCACCAAAAGCTGCTGAAGCATTGAATCAAGTGGTATTACCTGTTATTGGTTATGAAGTTTGCAAAACTCCTCAGTATTGGTGGTTCCAAATAAAGGACTCCATGATCTGCGCTGGATATGTTCTCCCCGATGAATTAAAGTCCGTGTGTCAGGTTAGTGTCATTTTACAATATAAAAAGCATATTTAAAAATGTTCAAGACACCAAATGTTACTGAATGGACAGTATTAGGGCACCTCGTTAAAGGACAGCCCATTCAGTCAAGGGGTTCCAGTAGAAATAAATGCACGTTTTTGTAAAGAACTCTTTTCTTTAGCTTAAAGTGAGGAGTTAAATCTTAAAAATACATTCAAGTACCCTAACTATTAACATAAATGTATCTTATTTGTGTATCAATCGGCTGTAGATCCTCAAATCATCTCTGAATTGATGCTGACACTGTCCTTCCTTCTGGAGGGTGGTTACTTTTGTTCCCCATGGTCCCTGTATGTGCTGTAAAGGAGCCACCGCTCTAAGCTCAATCCCATGATAGAAAATACAAATGAGTAAACTAAACATGAGACTGCAGTCCATCATGGAAGCGAGGTTGGAGAAGTGGCTACTTTACAACACACACAGGGACCATGGGGAAGAAAAGTAGTCACCCTCCAGAAGGAAGGACAGTGCCAGCACCAATTCAGAGATGATTTGAGGATCTACAGATGAGTGATACACAAATAAGTAAAATTTTTGTTAATAGTGCACTTTAATGGATTTTTAAGATTTAACTCCTGACGTTAGTGTCACTTTAAGTTGCATAACTGTAGGCCATGTTGGTTCCCCAATACTCTCTTTTTGTTGTTCTATTTGTATTCCTTTTTTGATTTTCTTGTAACTGTAATGTTTATTTGTCGATTTATTCTGACTGGACTCAACTGTCCATTTAGCGTCTATGACAAATTTTCATTTTTGCATACTTAGTGGCATTCTAGCCATCTATAACACATCCATGCTCAATGTATAACTGTATGAATTATGTTTTTTGTCAAGTTGTGAGAAAATTAGGGGGTTAACTGTAAAAACGATTTCTGAATAGCTGATTCTGTTCAGGCTGCATGAATAATCATCTTAACCAACCCCAGTAAACACCATTAGGCAAACCCATCACAAACCTAGGCAAATGCAACTGAGCGTTTAATCAGAAATACATAAACAGAGCTTACCTTTTATGAAGCCACATCTCAAAGTAATAAGCGGATCATAAATGTAGACAGAAGAAGTTATATACAAATCTTAACTTTGGTTAATTTGGTTAATCAAGGAAATGTTTGCCCAGGGTCTAATCAATGGCCCTGGACTAGGCTGTAGGTTAAATAGTCTTGGGTTAAAGAAGAGTTAAAGTGCCAAGATATTTTTTTCATCTGCTTTACCTTTAACATTGCCCAACAACCCGCATTCTTCATATACGGTACAATGTTTTAGAGGGGTCTATTTATAAGCAATTTGCAGAGCCATTTGCCCTGCCAGTCTCTGTGAACATTTGTTTTGTGCAAATTAATGTTCTTAGTATATTTTCTTTCCAGGTTGAATGTGACATTCAGAAAAAACTACATTATGGCCACTAGATGGAGCTAACCAGCATAGGAATTCATACTTATTTTCCATGGTTGTTACCTCCAACTAGTGGCCATAATGCTGTATTTTTCGATGTTACATTCAACCTGAAGAGAATATATACCAAGACTGTCCATTTTGTTTCTATTTGCGCAGAACAAATGTTGATTGGGATTTGCAGGGCAAATGGCACTGCAAATTGTTTATAAAAAGACCCTTTTCTTGTAGATCTTGGAAAGGGTTGCTGTGGGTTTATAGCATAGAACCCCCCTGTGCCATGCCCACTGGGTTTATTGTAAATCGCCACTCAGTATCATGTGACTACCTCACATGCGACCAGCGAGAACCACTGCAACATTTCCAACACCTGGGCTGCATCTTTTGAAATAGGAAGCATTGCAGTAGTTAGTGTCATCTGTATCTAAAATATACTCTTATGGTAGTTTAAAGCAGAACTCCAGAGAAAATTATTATTAAGCCTTGCAGTGGGGCTACCTCGCACTGCAAGGGTTAAGTGCTTGTTCTGGTCTAGGTATATAGCTATACACTGTGAAGGGAATTTATCAAAACTGGAGCAGACAGAATCTGGATCAGTTGTCTATTGCAACCAATCAGCTTCTATCTTTCCTTTTTAATAGCCTAACTAAACAAACTGAACAGATAAGCTGTTTTGGCTGCCATGAGAAAATGCTCCAGATTCTGTCTGCTCCAGTTTTGATAAATTCCCCTCTGTGTATAGAACAAGATGATTTACAGGACTTAGACCACTGCAGAGAGGTTCCAGGGACCGGTGTAAGAGCTTAGAGGATCAGGATAGTATATATTTGTTATTTCCCTCCCTAGGCCACAACAAGCACTTAACCCTTGAAGTGCAGGGGAAGCCCCACTGCAAGGGTTAATAATAATTTTCCCCAGAGTTCTTTAACTGTTTGTTTTTACATTTTGTATGCTCGTACCCACAGATTCTTTTACTGATCTATGTTTTTATGTGCTCTGTGTCTATTTTGGTGCCTTGATTTCTGCTTTAAATATTGTGTTGATATGTATTAATCTTTTTTGTAATGTACCAGGGGGATTCAGGTGGGCCACTGGTCTGCCCTTCAACCACCAACAGCTCAATCTGGGAAGTTCATGGAATTACCAGTTTTGGCCCTATAGGCTGTATTATGGATAAAAAACCCAGTGTGTTCACCCGTGCATCTTCTCATGTTGAATGGATAGATGGCATCATTAAAAAGGATATATATGATATGTACTGTAAGTATTAACTTATCTTGTGCATCATTTTATTTCACTCACCTGGCCCCAATTGAATATCATCATGCCTTAACATCATTGTATTTGGCTTGCTCAGTCCAAAGGTATTATTGCACCAGGAGCTTGTCATTTGAAGATAGAATCCAAGGAAAGGTAGGGAATCCCACACATCTAGAGGAGATTCATTCAGCTGATTTTCACATGTCATTATGAGGAAAACGACAATAGGGTTGAGATGCTCGAGGAGTAGAGACTGTTTGATAGAAAAGCGAATGTTCTTTTTCCACAGAACAAAATTCACTTAGCGTAGTGTTTTCACTTGCATATCCCAATCAGATTTTTTTATTAATTTCCTGTGCTCATGATTGAGAATTCAAAGTAGACATAGCTTCATCTTATTTACTAAATGAAGAGTGTCGTCCAGTTACAGTTTATGTCACTAAAGTTTTTACAAACTTTACAAAATCTAAACACAGGACGCCCACGTGATAGCAATGTCACAGACTAAAGGTGCCCACACACCTTGTGATAATCGTACGATAATCACGGGAAATCCCGCGATTGTACGATTATCGTAAGGTGTGTGGAAGGCGTGCGACCTCTGCTACTGTAAGGTTGCACGACTTTTATCTTAGGAACATGTTCGAAAACCCGCCGAGAATCATACGATTATCGGCGGGTGTGTGGCATGTTCGTAAGATAAA